TTATTTTTAATTGGGTACCAACATGTTATATACATCAGCACAGAACATTACAGGTAACGTATACATTGATCTCACACTAAATGCTAACACAATTACAGGTGCCGACTGCATGCATTGGTATAAAAAAGCGGTTCATTGTATAATACAAAAAAAAAGGTATATATAACATTACATGACAACTAGTTAATTGTAGGTGGGTACATAAGGTAATGGCTCATCTGATGGAGTACGGTGGTGGCCAAAATCTCTAGACGGCGATAACACTAAAAACGACCAGCAAAAAGGTGTCAGCTTTAAGTGGCGAAGCCGAAAAAAGAGCCTCTCGGTTTTGTTTAAGACTATTTTTTATAAGGAGTTTGTAAGTGCGCTAGTAAAAACAAACCTATCTTTTATCGTAACACTGAAAACAGTATTAATAGGTTAGCTGAAATATACATTGAGGGTTTAAATGAAAGTAGAGGCCACGCAGTAGTCGAAATTCAACTATAATTAATTGGAATTGTAGGATAGGTTTGTACACTATTATGATTGTATTTTATACATCTATAATCAAAAAATTTCGCCAAGGCTACACTATAAAAAAATATTAATAAAGACATACAATATTTAATCTATTCTCAATTTCATCACAGACGTCAACAACAAAAGTTTGACAATAAATCATCAATAAATAGTATACATGCGTGTGTGCGTCAAATACATGGTATGTAGTGTGTGTAATGTTTTCTTTATTGATTTAATGTATCTTTTATGCATTATTTAAAAAAAAATATTAGCTTTGTGCACTTCTTCTCTATATTCTTTATAAGTGTGGAAAATTTCATACTCCTCCGTCCGCGCAATTTTCGTAAAAAGGGATACAAAGTTTTTGCTTCACGTATTAATATATAGATAAGTAAATTACTCGTTATCAATGCAAACATAACACAATTGTGTTTGTGTGTTGATATAGTTAGCCACCTCGTACTAAATGAAATTAAATATTTACACTTGTATGCTGTTTAACTAATCGAGAAATGTGTCTACAAAAGTTTTTAGAATAAATAAAATTTGGTTTGTCCATTATTTTTTTACGTAAGATCTCTTAATGCTGTGTGGTTTGCTTTGAAGGTTTTGATGTTCCTTACTATGATAAACATAAGACATATATGTCGCAGAATGAGCCGGTGGTAGGACCTCTATTGAGTCCGCACGGGGAGGGACCACCACCCTGCCTATTTCTGCCGTGAAGCAGTAATGCGTTTCGGTTTGAAAGACGGGGCAGCCGTTGTAATTATACTTGAGACCTTAGAACTTATATCTCAAGGTGGGTGGCGTATTTACGTCGTAGATGTCTAAGAGCTTCAGTAACCACTTAACACCAGGTGGGCTGTGAGCTCGTCCACTCATCAAGCAAAAAAAAAAATCTCGCTAGCAAAAATTTCAAGAATAGTTTGAATATACACAGGTTACGAATAATAACAATCAGAACGTCGGCCTATCGAGCAATTTCACCGGCCCATTGAAAGATCTTTTCTCTTTGTCGTTACCTCCCAAAACAATTAATTTCTTCTGGATTATTGCTGCGTATGTGTATTGTCGCGCATTCGCAAAAGTAGTCAAAAAGGTAATGAAATCAACGTCTGTTAGGAAATATCAAAATTTCCCACGAAAATACTGAAAGTACGAAAATTTATTATCATAATTACGTTGTCAGAATATTTAGCAAAAGGTCAGACTTAATGTGGCTCACTGAACAAAAATTTATGACTGTTCATTATAAAGTTGTTTGTAGAGAAATTCATGAAAATTCAAGCCCTCATTGTCCCGCAGTGCTTGTCATGATAAGTTTGCAATGTTCAGCGCTGGGTACGTACTGTGAAGTTTTGAGGTCTTTTGAAGTCCAAACTCCTAACTAAACTTATTTACTTCAGTGGCTGATCTCATGACCAGAGCTTTTCAAAACCCATGGACAGCATAATGTCAATATCACCGTCCACCTTGAGACATCTAAATTCCAATTGTATGTATAAAGGCTATATCCCAAATCTCTTATTTTTCAAGGATAAATCCTGACAGGTTAAAACCTGTATTGAAATTAGAGACAGAGTTATACATTCCCAAAATTAAATTAGAACACCTTATAGTTAAAGAAAGGCAAAACACAACACCTACATTTGATTTTGGGAATTATTATCTAAATTCATAATTATCATTTTACTTCTCTTCATTAGATATCAGTGCAGTAAGTTCTACTAGTTCATTCTTCTCTTCTTTTAATAATATTCACCTTCACTCCAACTACATTCATATTCTTACTCCGGTAAGAGTAACGTCATCTATCGCCGAATAGTCGAACGAATATCGAAGGATCTAGTAGCATCTAGAACGCTCGAGAAGTACAACGCCATCTATTGTCAGATAACGGAAACACACAATACTCAACTTTTGTGGAATATTCTCGACGATTCTAGAGGTTTCGTCTCGACTATAAAAGCGTTGCTGCTCGAAGTGAAACAGCGATAGGATCACCTGAAGCGAAGCGGAAGAAGTGAATTGAGAATGTTAAGGTTTTAGTGAAGAGTTTTAAGTGTTTTTAATGCTAATACAGTTTTAATTTATACTTCGGTGGAATTTTATTTTTCCCGAACCCCAGCGCGTAACAATATGATTGTACACACAATCAATCCTTCGTTTTTATCTTACCCGTGTTTCCATCCACATGTAAATTCACGTATTCGTTGTTGTAATCATTAGGTATTCCTTGATACTTCTTCTAAAGTTTCACATTCAACTCATTCGCTTAATTCCACCTAACTTCACACGAATAACGTTGACATCTCCGCGGAATAGATACGTTTTTCGTCACGCGTCTACGCGCACCTCAAGCACCGGTCATCGTTCTCGTCGAACCCGTCGCTTGCGACGAAGTGCTCGACGAGTAAATTAACTCCCAGATACAGCCCACTGAGTTTCTCGCTGGATCTTCTCAGTGGGTCGCGTTTCAGATCCGGTGGTAGATTCTGAGAAGCACGACTTGCTAGGGTTCGTGTTAGCAACATCATCAGGTTTGAGCCCCGTAAGCTCACCTACTAGTTAAGCTGACGCTGATATAGCCTCTCAAGGCTATCAGCTTAGGTAGGAAAAAAAAGTCTACGCGCACTATTCTTCGTATAAGTTTTAAATTTGACCACATCCATAAATAAAAGGTTAATCTCAAACAAAGTCGGGACAAGAGCAGTTTAATCGTGTCAACAAATATACGTAACTGATATCTGTGTTATTACTTTGTTTGCGTTTTCAATAATAGATATGTAAGTTTGTTTTGACACTATTGACTATTTTAGTTTTGTTTGCATATTCATAAAATCGTTTATGAAATTGGATAATACGTCACGTGTTTATTATGACATAATTATCTCATAGTGCTTTTGGTACTTTTAACTTTTAGTTACATAGTTCTACCTACGATTTATGAATGAAACTAATATTTGAATTCGTTCATAAATTGGACTACACATCGAGCACTCTGGATCAAAAACCCAAATTTAAACTACGATAATGACCAGTTCTTTTTTGTGTATGTATGTGCTTACAATTATTTTTATACAATTACTAGCTGACCCGGCAGACTTCGAAGTGCCTCGATTGATAAATAAAAGACCTAAACTTTTGTATAAAATAAACTTAAAACAAACAAAAGGAGTCCGTCCGACGGGGAACACATCAAAGGAAAAACAAAATTGTTATTTTTATTTAATTCCGAGCATTTTCATATTTAACTACCTTTTAAACCTTCTCTGGACTCTGGACTTCCACAAATAATTCATGACCAAAATTAGTCAAATCGGTTCAGCCGTTCTCGAGTTTTAGCGAGACTAACGAACAGCAATTCATTTTTATTTATATATAGATACTATTCCTTCATAGTGGGAGTCATTCGTGAAGATTTGTTAGGTATGTTTTTCATTAGAAAAATTGGTACTTGTCTGTGGAATTCGAACACCGTTGCTTCGCTCGTAATTAATGCAGCAGGCGTCTTATTCTTTAGGCCTAGACGAATTCTAAAGATAGTTTTGTTTACATTGTTTATGTTTGTTATCAAAAAATTATGCGTAGGTATCTTGTTTACTAACAAATACAAAGGATGACGATATATACAACGTGTTATAAAAAATATGGGTGTGCGCATTGATAACAAAGTTCAACAAAACAAAATCACAACATCTCGTCATCAATGTTACGCGCTAGCAACAATGAGGAAACGGACAGCTAACAGTGATGTCACTAAAAATTATTTTTTTGCATAACACGTAGAGGCGAGAGTGAAGTTAACGGGTGAGTGTGTGAGTAGTGAGTTAACTTTTACGCGATCGAGAAGTTAAAAAACTCGTACTAAGCACGCAGATCAAAATTTACTAAGCAAATGCTTACTTAGCAAATGTTGTTTTAATGATTTAAATAGACAGATAAGCTACTCATGACATTACGTAGAGAACAATCTTGTGTAACACAAACTTAAAAAAAAGGTGATTTTATATACACACGTGACAGGATTTATTTTAAGCTCACTGGGATAAGTACAGCTACTGTTCGGAGTGTGCGACGGTTGTCCTTTGTTTTTTTATATAATTTTTTGTTATTATCTTTTGTTGCACAATGGAGTGACATATTCACTATAACACTAATGAATAATCTCCTGAAATCAAGAATTAAAAAAAAATCATTTGAAATTTCGATCTCATATCTTAGGCTAACCGCTGATTACGTCGTTATGTCTTTAGACTTATGTTCCCACTTAAATTCAGATAAGGCGTCACGCTATGTTAAAAAACACTAAATTTATGCAAAGTTCAGCAAAATGTACGCAAATCGATAATCATTATTCATCAAACAACGTCAAAAGTTAATTGAATTGCATTCACTCACTGAACACGCCAAAATCACTACACGTTAAACGTATTGATGCGTCACCGACAAACGACCGCACTCACGTGCCGGCTCCTATATAAATCGATTGCACTCGATTCTAATAACATACGAAACTGTGCTTCGTACCGGTCGCATCTCTAGAACGAAATGGACAAAAGAAAGTTGATTGGCAGCGCTACGCGATACATCGCCGGCCGTCACGCGGTCCAAACGGTATACTGGCGCAGATCGGCGGAAAACGGCAAGGGCCTGCTGAAGACCACCAAAACGACATTCTTCGGCAAAAACGAGGGTCCAAACAAAGTTGACTCGGCCGAGATGTTCGCAAGGGTCCGTGAAAGATACGCCTAAGTATTCTGAACCTAATAATCATCAAGAAGGCTGTGATAGTTCAATTTTCTCGCGTGAAAGATCTCTCTGGTCAGTGTTGTGTGGTGTTGTTTTGTAAATCATAATCTAAAATAAATAAATTGTATTGTATTTTGGTCATGGCGTAGCTATGTGGAGTATATTTCTCGATCAACAATTTCTTTTTTTCGTATATAAAGTGCAGTGTGCATGGTGATTACTTACATTGTCTTTTAGTTAAATTTAAAAACACGATTCATGTGTTTGAACTATAAAATTAAATGTTGAATCGTGTGTAGCCTAATACGTGAGATTAGGTGATACGAATTCGCGGGGTTCACATTTTGAGGCCAATACTACATAATAGTACTAAGTGAATGCTTTCTTATTGTCCAGTATGTCCAGCCGCAATTTTTTTTTGCAAGAGTGTAATTATGGCTTGGTTACCAGACCTTCAAGCCAAAAAGTTCTGGCTAGTTAAATAATGTATTCGTCGATCAAAAGGACGATGTAACTTTGAAGTGGCGTTGAATTTAAGTTTTTGTTTTGTATTGTTGATCCCCTAACGAATATTTTTCATTAAAAAAAATCTATTGTGTCAAACAAATAAATGTTATAGCTTTGTCTCATCATTCACATTTTCTCTGCTGGACAATCTTTGTTTTGTATGCTTAATATCTTATTATTTTTTTGTTACTTTGTCATCCCATTTGAAACTAAAATAATTATTAATCCCTTAACAATTATCACGGTTTAGAACTACTTATAAAACTTTTGTATTTGTTTATTATTAATGGTAATAAATTGTATTCACTACTAGCAAAAGTCACGATTAATTAATTTTATCTCATAATAAAATCGACCTGTGACATTTATTATTTTGTGAAATTTATTTTTGTCAGGACATATTGTGGGCACTATAATATTATGTAAGTAATACCAATCTGAAATTAACAAATTGAGAATCGAATAGTAATCAATAATAATGTATTATGAATAAATGTAGATAAATGTAGAATGTAGCTATAAGTAGATTATATATGTTTAATAGTTGAAATAAATACTTTGTGAAATTAAATGTATTGTATTATTCTAATTTGCCAATTTTTGATTATTATAATTAATTAAATTTTATTTTATCGCTCGTGTAGGCTGACGAGCATACGGCCCACCTGATGGTGAGTGGTTACCGTCGCTTATGGAGGTCAGCAATGGCAGAGGCAAAGCCAAGCCGCTGCCTGCTGCTTTTAACATTCAAATAATCATATCAGCATTCAACTAATATTATATAGCAAGTCTAGCTCATGGAAAATGTTCCACGACTTGACGTAGCTGCGTTTGAAATTTTTGTAGGCGACGTGTTTTTAGATAAAGGAACACTATCGTATTTGAATATTTTTTTCGGTGGACGAGCTGGGCTGGTGTTAACTGGAGCCCATAGACATCTACAACGTAAATATGCCACCTACCTTGAGATATAAGTTCTAAGTTCTCAGTAGGCTGTCCCTCAACGGCTGCCCCATCCTTCAAGTCGAAACGCATTACTGCTTCACGGCAGAAATAGGCGAGGTGGTGGTACCTACCCGTGCGGACTCACTAGAATTCATACCACCAGTAATTAGGGAGTAACGAGTCTAAAATTGGGTGGCGGCATTAATGTTTTAATGTTCATATGCTCCTGTATCCACTTAAGTGATCTGTGAGCTAGTAGTATACTGGTGGTAGGACCTTTTGTGAGTTCGCGCGGGTGGGTACCACCACCCTGCCTATTTCTGCCGTGAAGCAGTAATGCGTTTTGGTTTGAAGGGTAGGGCAGCCGTTGTATCTTACTTGAGACCTTAGAACTTATATCTCAAGGTGGGTGGCACATTTACGTTGTGGATGTCATGGGCTCCAGTAACCACTTAACACCAGGTGGTCTGTGAGCTCGTCCACCCATCTAAGCAATAAAAAAAAAGTTCACTGATCTAAGCAACGAACAAATATATATTAATAATAAAATTGCACAATCATATTTTCATGTATTAAACGCGATTTATTGTCTAAGAAAAGCTTCAGGGTAAGAAGAAGCTTGATGGATGTCATATGTCCTAGCTCAAAAATATACGCCTGATAATGCAAGGATATGGTCAAGGATATATTGTCTACCTACCTTCGATAGGAGAAGGTGCTATAAGAAGATGTACTGTCCTATAAATAATCGGCTCATTTGTCTCTTGGTCCGAAACTGCACCGCGCCGTGCTTGGTTTGCAGTCAAAGTCGACATCTCTACCTATTAAAGGTATTCGTAGGTCGGGATCTACCACAGGTTGTCTCGATCTTATCTCGTACATGTGATTCTTATACTCTTCCTCCTCCTGCAGTCGATCGTTCATTGCTGAGCATCGTGATGCGCTCACCTGTGACCTTTTTTGTAATTTGTAGCCACTTATGTCGGTCAGTGACACAGTGAGCTGCGTGGTTCCATCCACTTTACCCGTCATTATGAGTCTCTCCAGGTTGTCAGAGGGTTTTCTTACTATATGACCAAAATATTGGAACACTCTATTTAGGCATTTGGTGGATAGTCTTTGGTCAACTTTTAGCTCGTTGTCGTTGAGGATGGAATCGTTTGTCCGGAAAGCCGTCCAAGGGATAGGCAACATGCGCTGCCAGCACCACATCTCAAATGCGTCTATGCGTCGCCTGTCAGACTCTTTCAATGTTCAGGTCTCAGCCTCATACAAAAAGATTAAGAAAACGAGCGCCTCAACAATTTGCACTTTCGTCTTCTTGAGTATGTTCCGATCTCTACGTATTTTATTTAGCTGGCTCATAGCGGATTTGGCCATTCCGATGTGTCGAGATACACGAAATGTTGACGATGTCGTATTGGCCAAGAATATTATTCGCGTTATGAATACCGGGTTTATCCACGATTATGATCTACGTCTTGGACTGGTTGATCTCTAGCCCCATTTCCTCACTAACTATAACCAGACGTCCTATACTCTTAATTCGAACAAAAATCCTACCTTGTAGCCTTCGGGTGTTGAGCATAGTTGAAACCCTGGGAAAGAATATAGGCTATTTTTTATTCCACTGCTAAGTACGGGTCTTCAAGCACGCAATATAAGCGTTTCGGTTGAAACGCATGACTGCGTTCCGGCGAAAACAGGAAGAAAGCTGAATACCGTAAGTACCGGATTTCGATACGCCCTATAATCAGTAGCTTTAAATAGCATATTTACTAGGATGGGAAGGATCCGTGGTAGGAAAAGTACAATAAAACAATACCTACGAATAAGGAAATGTGTATTTTATATTTTTTACGGGTTTCGGCGAGCAGACGGAACTCCGATACACCCCCGATTACTCTCTTTAGACAACCCATACCCTGGGCCAGGAAGGTCAAGTACCTGGGCGTTACCCTGGATGCATCGATGACATTCCGCCCGCATATAAAATCAGTCCGTGACCGTGCCGCGTTTATTCTCGGTAGACTCTACCCCATGATCTGTAAGCGGANAGGAAGGTCAAGTACCTGGGCGTTACCCTGGATGCATCGATGACATTCCGCCCGCATATAAAATCAGTCCGTGACCGTGCCGCGTTTATTCTCGGTAGACTCTACCCCATGATCTGTAAGCGGAGTAAAATGTCCCTTCGGAACAAGGTGACACTTTACAAAACTTGCATAAGGCCCGTCATGACTAACGCGAGTGTGGTGTTCGCTCACGCGGCCCGCACACACATAGACACCCTCCAATCTCTAAATCCCGCTTTTGCAGGTTAGCCGTCGGAACTCCGTGGTTCGTGAGGAACGTTGACCTACACGACGACCTGGGCCTCGAATCTATCCAGAAATACATGAAGTCAGCGTCGGAACGGTACTTCGATAAGGCTATGCGTCATGATAATCACCTTATCGTAGCCGCCGCTGACTACTCCCCGAATCCTGATCACGCAGGAGCCAGTCACCGTCGACGCCCTAGACACGTCCTTACGGATCCATCAGATCCAATAACCTTTGCATTAGACGCCTTCACCTCTAACACTAGGAGCAGGCTTAGGGACCCCTGTAACCGTACTCGTCGAACTCTACAAAGAGTTCGCCGTGCAACCTAACCCATGAATCAGCTCGCTGAGTTTCTCGCCGGATCTTCTCAGCGGGTCGCGATTCCGATCCGGTAGTAGATTCATTCGCGAAGCAGCTACTCTTGAGCTGTTAGGTCTCCTTCGGAGGCGCTCGGGTAGCTGTTAGCAAATCCCACCCCTTCTGGCTGAGCCTTTGCTCGCCCACCTGTCCTGGTGAAACTGGAAAGGCCTCCGGGCCACCAGTAATCCTTCAATAATAAAAAAAAAAGACGGAACTCCGATAGAGATAAGTTGCTTCCATGGATAAGAAAACGGGAAAGGATTATCTCATTAGTATATCCCATTAGTACAGAATATCAGAAGTATGATACGGGCTGCTGAAGGACCTGTTATGACTGGTATCGGAGGAGTGGTGCTGTGGTCCTTGTCGCACAAATAGAAACTGAATTGAGACTGACTGAAATTGACTGGTAGGACATGAAAAAGAGTGCTTTTCTCTCTCTCCATCAGCTGGTAACCATCAAGCAAGGGGTCCCAATAAGGGTCTCGCCCGAATCGTGATATCCTAACCCTAATCGTATTTGGATCCCTTTAGTATGGCTTGGAAATCAGCGAGAAAAACCTAAAAAAGACGACATACAAGTTGCTCTACATACATCTTGCGAATAAGCAACCCGGTCACAGATGACTGTACTCCCCGACCCGCGCTGGTTATAGTTGTAACAAAAACAAAAACAACAAAAAAAACGTTCCATTTCGAGACAAGACGTCCTATTCTAATGAGATTATAATGACAACTGTTCTATATTTAGCACCGAACTGCTTTATCGTTTGGCACCGGACACAAGTAGGACAGCGGTCTGTATGTACCCTTATAATTCTGCTGCATAAATTAGTTGGTCGATGCATCCTAAAAAATCCACATAACCAGTAAGAACTAGTTAGACCGTCAATTTCCAATTGAAGGACTCCATTGAAATCAACATTGCAAATAAATTGTGAACAAGTCTAGATTGCGAACTGTATGCTGATGACGTCAACGATCAATTGTTGTATTCGACACTAATGTAAATGTCACAAAGGTTAATATGTAAATATTGACAATTGACAAGTACCTATGTACTGTAAAATTTCAATTGGAGTTTCAATTAAAATTAAAATAAAAAACTGCGTGACTTGTTCTTTTTTAATGGAGTCTACAACACATTTTTTATATACTATTAATACACATTATTATAAATATACTTGGGATTTAAAACCATGATGTGATATTGAAGTACCAACGGATCGGAATCGCGATCCACTGAGAAAATTCCGCCAGAAGTTCAGTGGGCTCTGTGTATAAGTAATAAGTTAGTATTACAAAAACCTCTACGAGTGCTTAGTTTGTTTTTTTGGGATTCTCCTCACTCTACTCTTTAATTCGTTAATAGAAAGGGAACCTTGAACACCGTTCCATTTACGTTATGATTACATCTAATTGAAATACATTATAATATATACATTAAATTTCAAATGGATATAGTACGCAATACATGTAACATAAAAGCTGTACTGTCAAAACATTCTTATCATTGTGATAATACATCGGTCATTAAGCGTGGAGTCCTTAACACTGACATGGAAATTAATCTTTGTTTCTAACCTAAATACAATTTGGTTCGCGTCTTATTATAACTACTCTTTTCGGCACAGTAACACAGTTTTTAGAATTGTCTAATGAAAATAATATTATGAATGTCTTTTATGTCTTACTTGCTAAGAAGACTAAGAAGAAGAGTGCCCCAAGATCTACTAGATCTACTGTAGATTAATTGATATGGACATGTCAATAGACATTGTGCATGCACCGCCTAAGAAATTGTTTTTCATTAATACTGTATAGAATTAATTAAAAGAAAAAAAAAGACGAATGTGTAAAGTGATACTCTCAAAATTACCGTGTCAATGTGTTTCAGATAAAAACTGTACTTGATTTATGTCAGATGAGCTGACAGCTT